CCCCCCCCCCTTGTTGCTTCACTTGGATTGATAATTATACTTTGATAATTCAGGCCGTGACTCTGGCGGCCTCGAGTGATGATCGATTCCCACTCCGTCCTCTCGAGGACACGTGATCCATGGTCTAACAACCTACGACATTCATACGCCCGTCCACCACGTTGTTTCACTTGGGTTGATCATTCAATGATTCAGGCAATGACCCTAGCGGCCTCGGGCGATGAAGTCGCGCAGGAGGCGGCGGCGGAGTGTTTCTGCTCCGCGGCGTCGTTCGACGGGGGACGAGCCCTCCTCGGCCCCGTGGTGGAGAGCGGCATCATCTTCGCGCTCATGGAGAGCAAGAGCCAGGCGGCCCGATCAGCTGCTGCTAGGCAAGCGTTGCGACGATCGATAGGCCGGCATTGATGGCTTTTTCGCGCTAAGTCGGCTGCCTGCCCTCGCTCTTTCATCACCTTCTGCACCAGCAGGAGCAGCGGTGTTTAGTGTTTGAACGCTGCAGTAATGCCGGGGGCTATTTGATACAAAACGTGGGGGGGTATGTGAGTTTCATTCAGTGTTGGCGTTCCTCGTGCGGTCGGCAGTGTGGTCACCCTTCCACGTTCACGGGTGTCCGTGGCGGCTGGCTGCAAGTGGTGGCCAGTAGAACCTTACCCGTCTTTCAGGAAGCCTTTGAAGCCCAGCCTCTCGCGAACGTTTGTTGGTACGCATTCACACATACGTTGGTCTCCATTTGCTGTTCGTATGTTGTTTTGTTTGTTTTTCTCCCATCAATCGACTCTGTCGTCTGCCCCTCTGGCCCCTATCCTCCACTTTTTCCAGCTAGACGACCCAACCGAGGTCACACAGGAGGGGGGGGTTGGACCCGCTCCTGCGGTTCCTGCCTGAGATATTTTGATCGCGAGAAGGGTACAGCAATCCCTTCCCTCGCGACTTATGAAGTCGATCAAGTTTACTAACAACGAGCTTTGCAGTGCGTCGCTTCCAACGGAGAGTGCTGTTCGTATGTGGCGTGCTGGATATCTATCAATCTATCAATCTGTCCTGTTCCGTGATGCTGAAGGGCTATGATAGTTGTCCGAAGACCTCACGCTGTCGTTTGGCTTGAGTCACGGCAAGGTAGGCTTGAGAAAACACTAAAGCGCATGTTGTCGATGTCTTGGTGTACCTTATTGTGGCCCTTGCTGTCGTCGAGTCCTTTCAACTACTGTTTTACGCATCGCTCAGGAGCCGACATATTTTTTTCTGTTCTCCCGCATACCTCCTGATATGTACCTCTACTGATGGTACATCATTTCCTCTTCTCGTCTTTGCGTGCGTGGTCTCTCTCGTTTTACCGTACTCTGCTTGCATGTACCGTTGCTGATGGTACGTCGTTTTTGTTTTCCTTGTGCGTGCATGGTCTCTGCCCCCGGCCCACTTGTCCCTCCCGGCAGCGCGTACGCCAAGCTCGGGATGATCTCGAGCGCCCTGTCGAGCGACTCGGACGACGTCACCAAGCTGCTCAACGTCTCCCTCGACCTCATCACCGCCTCCAACTCGCCGCCGACCCACAGCAACAGCGACGCGCCGCCCTCCTCCTCCTCCTCCTCCGCTGCGAAACAAAAGCAAAAGAAAGACGCGCCAGGCTCCAAGCTAGGGGGACCAAAGTCCAAGCGGGCTGGCCTCGGGGGCATAGACGGGTTGAAGGGGGGCGCGGCTATCGCGGACAGTGAGCGCGCGGTGGAGGTGCTGAGTTTCCTCGTGTCCAAGACTAAGGTAGGGGGGGGGGGGGGGGGGGGGGNGGGGGGGGGGGGGGGGGGGGGGGGGGGGGGGGGGGGGGGGGGGGGGGCTGCATGCGACGGTTGATTGGGAAGGTGGGGGGGGCTGTTCTATCTCAAGATATGGTCGAAACAACACCTTGCAGACTAGTGTAGATTGTTTCGTGGTGATGAAACAAAATCCGGTGTGTCGAGTGTGAAACCGTTTTTTTTTTTTGCCCTTGTGGCACCGTCGGACCAAGTACCATTGGTAGGCACCGACGCCGCTGCCGCATGCAGCGCGCGAAGATTGAGGCATGTCTTCACCAGCCTGTGATCTGCGGCTGAGCAGATCTGTTTTCCCTGTCGGTGCGAAGCATATCACACCAGCACCTCCTCTGCCCCCGTTGAAGTTTTGTCTGGCGTTTCAAGCCTCGACGACCAAAAGCGCCGCCTCTCAGACACAACATTGTGGGTCCGTCGTTGTTCTCGGGATGCGTCCTGATGCATGCAGGTGAAGGAGGAGCTCTGCTACGGGTCCGCGAGGTGCCCCAAGGCGCTGTCCCGGCTGTGCAGGGCCGCCGAAAACGTCAGCGGGACGAGCCCGATCGCCTACGGACTCGCCTTCCTTTTTTCCTCGGTGAGCGAGATTAAAGTGCTCCGCAGCTTGCTATTTAGACCGGCGCCGTTGTGAGAGTAAATAAATGACAGCCATTTTTTTTGCCACTAATTGGTGCATCGAATTTGTTCGGCTTGAGGAAGTCGCGATGTCGGCGAAGAGCGGGTGTTCCTCCGCCGTTTCGGATCAGCCAATGAGAGTCGTCGTTGACATCGTGGTCTTCGTCGTTGTCGTTGTTGTCGGGCTTGTGGTTTGGAAACAGCTGTGCGTGAGCAAGGAAGAAGAGGTGAAGGAGTCGTTCAAGGGAAAGGACATGACCTACGAGCAGTACCAGCAGCTCAAGCAGCTCAACGACGCGCACGGCCAGGGCCCGAAGGAGGACGAGACCGACATGAAGGACACAGCCGACGCCGCCAAGCGAAGGTGAAACTAATTTTAGTTGTGGTCCCGATCGCCACACAACCCTCCAAGCCCCCCCCCCCCCC